AGAAGAAATAGCCACGTTTACTCTTGAAACATCAGTTGCTTTTAGAGCAAAATGGAAATTTCTTGTTTGACTTATTTCATATAGATATGTTGGAGATCACTGCTGTGCAAATACCGTATGCTGTTATGGTGGCCTTTATTTAAATTTACATGATGAACATAGCTTACACAGTATTTGATTTTTTTTTGTTGGATGAAATTCCCTCTCCCTTGACTTCAATGTAATCATTCTATAACTGCTTTAAAAGGAAAAATCTAGTTATAGATTGACAATTATGCCACTACATTTTAAGAAATATTAACCCTCACTAATTAAACTTCCTATATGTTTTCGATTCTATTCGACTTACAGCAGGTGGCTAACAAATCTAAGAGCATGTTTTTTTTTTTTTGAAAATATCAAAAACAAAAATTTCTGAGATTTCCCTGCTAATTGCATCCATAAGGAAGTTGAAAATACATCATAAATAGGTTTAAAGAACACTACCAGATGATGAACAACTCAAAAAAATACCACATTTTACAAGAATAATACCCAAAAAATTGACTGACAGTCAATCACCAGAAAGTCCTTGATGTTTATCAATCTTCACTCTTAGCAATCCATGTGCAGGGAGTCTCTGGATTCTGCTTAGCGATACAGCCAATGGAGGGGGATGTTGGGACAATTGGACGTATGCTACTGTATTTCCTTAACGCAAAACATGTTCATCTTACTCTGATTCTGTCTCTGCTTATGTGCTTTTGTACATGCATTGGTGTCTGCACCATGCATTGTTTTTTATTTTTACTTTTCTATTGAGAAAAATGTATTTCTGCAGAGAATTTCATGACCGGATACCGGATGGTGTTTGATAGGGAACAGATGAAGTTAGGTTGGTCAACCTCAAATTGTAAGTTCTTCAGTCTTTGCTTATGAATGTACGTGCTAGCTGTTTCCAACCAATTTTTTTAATGATACATGGCTTCCAAATTTGATGTCCCTTCATTAATTGGAAGGGAACGTAATCAGTTCATGTGAACTTGTACCAATAGCTCACATGTTGCTACATGCATTGTGAAAATGTTTCATTGTGTTGGTATTTTTTATTTTAGGGGGAAACGTAGCAAAACGTAAGAATGATTCTGAAATCTTAAATTTCATTTTCAGGTCAAGACTTAGCCGATGGTAAAAGGATGTCCCTTTCACCAGACGGGACACCAGTGAATCCACTTCCGACCAATGAACAGCAGAGCACACCTGGTGGACATGCAGTTGCTCCTGCCGAGGCCGGCAGGGCTCCTCCCTCCAAACCCTCTGCTGCTGCCCCAACCCGACCCCGACAATTTATTTATCTACAAATGCTGCCGCTACTGGTTCTTTTGCATGTTGTCGTTTCATCTTTTCCCCTAGATACAGGCTCTACCACCCATGGTTGAGCCTGATTCTGATGCTTAGCTATATCTGTATGTATATCCATCTTTCTTTCCTTTTTCTTGAGATATATATATTATGTATAATGTATGAATATTGGAGGCATGGAGCACTGGGTGCATTCTGGTGGTCTGATGCCATCAAATTTTTTTAGCCCCTGTGATGGCCATTGGATGAAACAGATGGATATGTAGTAGTATATAATGTGCATTACATTTTTCAGTGAAAAAATTACTAAATCCTTGTAATAAATTTTACTATTATCTTAACTGAATAGCGTAAGGTAATCCTTAAGTGAAAACCCCAGCAGAAATGATCATTTGATAATTATTTTCGGTATAAAATGTCATGCACGTAGATCTTATATATGAGATTCTGGAGTGGTTTAAAGCTCCAATTGTGAGCTGTTTAATAAAAAATGTCATGCACGACAAACAAATGTTTAAGAATTAGCGATGTAGGAAATTTAGCATGATTAGCTTTGGTTTTTGCGCGTGGATGGTCCTTCCTCTTTCTTTCCCCTTTAATCAAAACCCTAATTTAATACTATTATATATAGTCAATCTAAAAGCACCCTAAAGTGCCAGAACGTAAGCTCATTGTATATATTTTTATGTATTGATTGGATCTTCCCTTGTCATTTTGGTTTTGTTCTCTCTCTCTCTCTCTCTCTCTCTCTCTCTCTCTGTGTGTGTATATATATATATATATGTGTGGGTTAAAATTCAGTAAATGTTGTGTGTTTTTAGTTGGTTAAATGAAAAAATAATATAGATGATTGAGATTAATAGTAAAAAATAAGTATATTTTTATATAGAAAAAGTAAATTATCCTTAAATTTAAAATCTTAATCTTAATCATTAAATATGATTGATTCAAAAACTTAATTTATACTTTTAGTTCATACTATAAACTTGTCTATTTTAAAATTTAATTTATACAAAGTTGTTTATTTTTGATGTCATACATTTTAGTGTTCAGTATTTGTGGTTTATATATATATCTTTTTTTTTAAAATAATTATTAGTTAAAAACATAAAATGTCAATTTTGAAATCCACTCTTTTTTTTTTTTTGAGTAAAATGAACCCTCCGGTTAGCCTTGCCATTGAACTACATTTCTTTATTTCAACTTTTTAATCGTCGGTTTTCGCCTTAAGTTCATATTTTAATATTATCATCTTATTGCTCTCATAAACTCTGATTATTACCGTCATTATCAAACACTACAGCAGGGGGAAATGCGGCTGTTTAAAGGTTGCTGCCAGCCCACCCAATGCATTTCCTTTCATTAGAATTAGGTTTGTATAGAATTTATTCGGAATTTCTTTTACTTAATGCGCACGCTTCTTTTAATCACTAAGGTCGCTTAATAGGTTCGATTTGCATTCATTATTTAAGTGTGATAACTGGGTTTTATCGTATAAATCACTAACAAGCCAATAGTTTAATTAAGATGAACAAATCAAACAAGTTAAACCTGATAGAAATAGAAAAAATATTTAAAATTACTTTAATATAAATGGAAGCTTTTCATATAATTTGTCAAAGAGGTTGGTAGGGAAACAATCCAAGACAGCATGACAGTAACACAAATTGTTTTGTTTACAACGACAATAATTGAAGTCTAGGTTGTAAGTTAATTAATAATTATAGCATTGGATATTGTCAATTTGTTGATGGGCAGTGTGCATAGCTATATTTCTTTTAAGAGCTGGCCGACATGAATGCGCGAACACAAAATGACGAGGAAAGACCCAACCATCTCAATAATTGAATTGTTTGTTCAGTGTATCCGTTTTCACGGTTAAACCTCCTCAAGAAATATTAATGGGCACCCTCCCCGTCTTTGCATCCAAATTTACCATTTCTTCTGTCGTCCAGGCTATGCAAGTATAGGCATGGACCACTTAGGCTTTCCTTTTTCTACTTTAATTGTTTTCCTTTTCATTTTAAATTATAGAACAACTTTGTTATTTTTTTTATAGTAAATGTTATTACTATTTAGTCTATTTTATTATTATATTATTGATATAAATTAATTAAACAACAGAGATCAGTATGAACTAGTCACTCTTCTTTCTTTCTTTTTTTAATTTTATTTTTTTCTTTTTATCTTCGAAGATGTCATTGATCTTAGATTAATCTTTTATCGTTAACTTTTTTCTCTTTCTCTTCTCGACTTTCTTTATTTTTATAATGTTTTAATTTTTCATGGCCGATCGAGTTAATTGAAAATTTAATTAATTTTTATTTTTTGTATGAAAATAATAGATGGTTTTTGTTTACTCATATAATGTGTAACTTTTTTAAAACTAGATTTGATAGTGATTTTATAGTTGATATTTATTTGATTATCTTATTAATCTGTTTCTATTTAAGGCTTTTGGATTAGTTATCTTGTACCATCACTCTAGATAAGTCACATTTAAGTGGTGATAAATTAAATTTATTAACGTGTCATCGTTGTTATATATATTTTTGTTATTGTTGATAGTATTTATCACTCTCCATCAACAATTATTTTTTTGTATTTAATATTTTTTGAGTTATTTAACAAATTTTTATAATATTTTTCTTTTATGGTATACTTTATTATTCAATTTGTGTTATGTGATATGAATTTAGGGATATATCACTTTATTTTGTAAAAACTATTATTTCACTTCATTAATATAAAAAACAGACGAGAAAGAATAGTAAAGAGAATTATATTTGTTTTATTAATTTTTATTTTAATAATTAATATTCGACATAAAAAATTCTAATGATTTTCATTAAAATTAATAATTATTTTAATTAGCGCGTGGCTGTCAGCATCTAAAATATTCCCCGCTACTCTGTCGACGCGACCGCTGACCTCACCAAGCCCCTAACCAAAACATCAAATCAAAACTCCCCGGTTTTATAAGATGGCCCCCAACAGGCGGCAACCAGCTGTCCTTTTGCCATATCAACCCAATTGATACATCCCACGTGTCGTTAGATTACTACAACCATCTTTCCTCACAACCGTCGGATGTTCCCTTGTCTCACGTTCAAAGCATTCAACTACACCTACATTCAACCTTTATTTTATATCCCATATCGTGCAAAGCAAACTTATATGTTTCTGATTTACTCAAATCCTACCTAATAGTTTTCGTTTTTCAAATTTGGACCAGTCCTAATTATTATTTTTCCGATAATACTATTTTAATATTCTTTTAAATAATAATATGGAATTGCAAACATATCTCATTTATGTTATCAAATAAAATTTTAATATTATTGATTATGAATTGCTGATTTCCAAACATTGATTAGTAATAAGCAAGCTCAAAACATTTTCCACAACTAGCAAATTACAAATAATGGAAGGGCCTTTTGCAAAATACATTGAACCTTCCTTGCTTCCAGCCTAAGCATAAAAGAGGTTTCCTTGTTAAGAACCCAGAATCATGCTTCTTCTTCTTCTTTTTATATTAATTGAAAAAAGAAGAGAGAAAATCACGAAAAGGCCCTTCCAAATAGCTTTTGTTCACTGTGAAGGCCTATTTAAGAAGTGAAATATCTCGCGAAGTAAAACAAGTTCCCAGTGAAGCAGACTTTAAAGCCATTGCCTTTGTTTGAGGCAATGAAGGAATAAAAATAACATACAAAATACAAACTCCCTTATTTTTTATGCTGTTAAGTTCCCTTGCACCTTCGTTGTTAGCTAACTTCATATATATATAAACCCTTTCGGTTTCCCATATTTCCAGAAACCCTCCATTGAAACCTTTGCTGAAGCAACACAAACGATGGGAGTTTCGAGCACTTTGGAGTATTTGTCTGATTTAATGAGCAGTAGTGGGCATAAACACAAGAAGAGAAAGCAGCTGCAGACGGTGGAGTTGAAAGTCCGGATGGATTGTGATGGCTGTGAACTCAAAGTCAAGAAAGCCCTTTCTTCAATGAGTGGTATTTAATATTTATGTATATTTGGTCGTTTTTTTCCCTTTATCATCTTTTGTTCTTCAGTTGTTTTTTCTAACGGAGGAAAATGGTGATAATTGCAGGGGTGAAATCCGTGAATATAAACAGAAAACAGCAGAAGGTGACGGTAACGGGATACGTAGAAGCCAACAAGTTGTTGAAGAAAGCGAAATCGACGGGGAAAAAGGCTGAGATATGGCCTTATGTGCCGTACAGCCTGGTGGCTCAGCCGTATGCGGCGGCTTCTTATGACAAGAAAGCGCCGCCTGGTTATGTGAGGAAGGTGGAGAACAATGTAAATACGGGGACTGCGACCAGATATGAAGACCCTTACGTCTCTCTGTTCAGTGATGAAAACCCGAACGCATGTTCTGTCATGTAGCCCCTGGTTTTGGTTCTATGTAGTAATTTACGTCCTGTATGAGTGAGAATCCAATCAAAATCCAGTGTAAAGAAGTCCCTATGTAGTTTAGCGTCTTTTTGGCATTGTTTTTCGTTTTCCTGTTGGATTTTGTGGTAAATGATAAGTTCTGAGTGTTACGATTCAAGAATCCTTGGGATATTTTACGCTATAAATGTTACGTATTTGTACAAATTTCTTCTCGTTAATAATTTATTTTGATGTTCTTTAAAATAAATAATTTACACAAAAATCGCCTGGTATATTATTGAGGAGAGAGAATATACAAAAGTAAAATTGCCTTAGAAAACATAAAGTAAAGTGAAATAATAAAGAGCTTAACACACAAAAACAAATAAAATCCATTTCATGATCATTTATGTGTTATAATTGAGTGATATTCAATTATAACGTTAAGCTTTATTATTATTTATATATTTTTCAAAAATCTTATAATATCTATTTGCGTATTCTTGTATACTGTTTTATGCATTGTCTCTAATATAATTCCTTTTTATAATTATTTTTATCTCATGGAATTTTGATTTGATAGCATAAGTTTTTGTAAAAGAAATTATTTAAACAGAATAATTATAAAATATTAATATTTTAAAATATTCTATTTTTAATTATTCTAATATTTTAAAATATTCTATTTTTAATTATTCTAATATTTTTTGTCAGAATATAGTATTATTTTTTAATACTAGTAATTCAGTCATACACGTCTGCATGTGTGCAATACGTAATTATTCTAAGTTTTTATTATCTTTTAATGCCTTTTTACCACATGAGGTTGGTTGAATAAATTATTTTCCTTCACCCACTTTTGATTTGCTCTAAAATTGGACGGAATTCAAAGACAAGAGAGGGAGGAAATTTACAAGCTTTACTTGAAAAGAGAAAAGAAACGCCCTCAAAAATCCAAAGTTTGATCCTTACGATATCCCTAATTACAATCAAATGATATGATCAGCTCCAACCCCTTTCCTTTGAACCTTAGCAAAATTTGATGTATTAGATAGAGGAGCATTTTACTTCATATATACGACCCTAAATCATTTAAACTAGATTTAATATTAAAACAAAGAAATAATTTGGTAATCAATGATGAACCAAGAGGACGATCTTTTCGTAAAATTTTTAAATTCTTTTATACGTTATTGGTAACATGTTTTTGCCTCTTAAAATTTCTTCTATTTATTACTTTCTAAAATTTTATAAATCCGTACATTTAACATAAAGTTTTGCTTATGTGCTAGTGGTAATATATATGTTGAGCAATTGCATTGGAAAAGTGTGATAGGTTGGAAATGATATATATGCATCAGAAATGTGAAGGGGGGCATTGATCATAATCCTGCATGAACTCGTATCATGTGCACTATGCCCTGGTCCTTACCTAACATGTTTCCTGTAGATTGTCATTACTAATTTATGTTTTTCATATAGGATTGAAGATTGCATTTGAAATCATATTTTGGGTTCTTGTCGCTCAATAATTTAAGCTCTCAAACTTAATTTAACAATAACCAAACTGAATTTAGCTTGTTCATGATCAAACTCGAGTAGTTTATGAAAAAGAAAAGGTTTAAATATACATATTGGTAGTTAAACTAAACATTTTCTTTCAAATTAGTCCATAAAAAATTTTTGCTCCTGAATTGGTATATGAACTTTAATTTCATCTACTGTTTTGATATTTTTATTAGCGATGTTAATAATTTTTAATGACTTGGTAACGTAAGGTTGTATCATGTGTCACTTATAATATCATCATGTGCATGTATTTAAAAAAACTTCAAATTTTATAGAATATTAGTAAAAGTACCAAAAGTGTGGATGAAATTAAAGACCAAGTACCAATTTGATAGAAAAACTATTTAGGTATTAACTTGAGAGAAAGTATCAAGTTTAGGTACCGTAGGTATATTTAGGCCGAAAGAAAATGTATGGTTTACGCACTAGTGAAACCCTCCTCCAGATGAACTGATTTAGGTGGAGAGTAAGGATGACCAACTAAGGGACAAATGGGCTTACGGTGTTGCTATGCTATAAAATTGCATGCGGGCTTACGAATGGAATATAATTTGGTGGGAGCTGAGCTGGGGACTGCCAAATGGTTTAAGTAATTTATATTAGGAGTCATGTTGTGATTTAGTAATTGTAAATGATAGTAAAATGAAATGCTTTCAACGTAAGAAAATTCATAAACAATAATGAGAGCTTTGCTTCAACCATTCTATACCTTGATTCATGGGTTTATGGCGATGAAGCATGAGATATCAAGGTTCCAGAAGGGAAGATTAATTTATAAGTTGAGTTTCGTAAAAAAGATGTAATTTAATTGATTAATTATACCATTTGTATCCGTCGTAAACCGTAATTAATTATACGACCGCACTCCAAAACCGTTTCTCCAGTTCCCGCCAATGAATAACAGAAATCAAGGATTCAAGAACATTCCTAACGAACCCGTCAGCCTCTTCATTTTCCCGATTCCACGCGCCACCCTATATATCTTGATGTCTTCATCCCATCCTTATAAACCCTCTCCACTCTGTTTCCCGTTTCTCATTCCCCTTTACTCTTCAAGAATCCAAACAAACAACTCCCTCCTTCCTTTGAAATGGCGGTTATTTCTCTCAATCTCCTGATCTTCCTAGTCCTCTCTTTTCTCTCCGTCTCCGGCTCCACTTTCCTCCCGACTCTCAGCTCCACCATCACCAACGACGCCACTGTTCCACCACCACCTCCGCCTCCTCCACTCTTCACGACCACACCGCCGCCGCAATCACTTCAACAAGATTTCCCGGGCCAAGGGATCTTCTCTCATACTTCCGCCCTTGCTCCTATCCTCTCTCACCTCGGCTTCAACGAACTAGCCACCGCTGCTGCTCCACTCTACGGTGAATCCGCCACCGCCACCACTTGGACAGGTCCTTACACTATCTTTGCTCCGTCCGATTCCTCCATCCTTGCATGCATTTCTTGCTCCATTCCTTCATCCTCCGTGAACACATGGTTCCCGGCCTTTTCACCAGTGATTACCTTCGAAAACTCCCTTTAGGTTCCAAATTCGAAACTCTCAGTCCTGGCCGTTGTATAACCGTAACCTCTACCTCCAGCATAAAAATGATCTCGCAACGTACAAAATCTTCATCGGCGGAGTTGAAATCACTCATCCGGATCTCTTCAACAACGGCCTAATCGTAGTCCATGGCCTCCAAGGCTACATCTCACATCTCTCGCCTTTCTCTTGTGACGTTGAACGGATGACCTCATCACTGGCTTTACAGTTCCACTACGATCATAACCACAATAACCAACTTTTTCCACAGCAACATGTCGCACTGATGCGATTCATGCTTCGGGACGTCATCCTTCGGCTGAGAAACAGTGGCTTCTCCGTTCTGTCACTAGCTCTGAAACTCAAATACGCCGAACTTGTTTCTCTCAGAAACGTCACAATCTTTGCTCTCGATGACGTATCAATCTTCTCCGGTTCCTACTCTTACATTAGTAGTGTAAGGTTACATATCCTACCGAACCAGCTTTTGACTATTGCTGATCTGGAGAGACTTCCGGTTGGAACAACGTTGACAACGTTGGATAGAGATCAGAGTTTGGTGGTGACGACGGAAGGAGGGATTATAAGAAAGCAAATGAGGATCAATTATGTTAGCATCAAGGTTGCTGATATGATGAGGAATTTGAACGTTATAGTGCATAGCCTTTACTTGCCCTTTCATGTTTATCCAATGGCGGCAACGACTGATTCGACGTTGGGTGGTGAAGATCAGAGTCATCAGACAACGACGGCGCCAGGAGCCTGAGTGAGTGATCCGATATTAGGTGGTGAAGATCGGAGTCATCAGACGCCGACGGTGCTGGGAATAGTCGATGCTTGTGAATCTGTGGACGAACAAGGAAAATGTGAAATGAACCAGGTCAATCATGTCCAGACTCATGTCAAGCCGCCTCATCATATACCGGAGATTGAAGATCACCATGGTCTTTGAAAGGTCGATCTGGTGTGTGACTGAAGTGCAGGTTTGTCTTCTTGTTCTTGTTGTCAATATCTGTTTAGTCAAATAACAATGTTTAATCCGTTTTTTGATAAAAAGGGGTTGTTTGGATGATGAGTCACTAAGTCGTTGAAAATAAGATGGAGGAATGGATACCATCTCTTTGTGTACTGTTGCATTTCATGTACCTAAGTACTAATGAGAAGAATCCATACTTCAGAGTGATCATATTGTTTCTTTTTTTAAATTTTCATTTTCTAAACCCAAAACATTTTCAGCTTAATTTGAAAATTTAACTCCACGATCCATTTGTTTAAATTAAAAAAAATGAAATCGATTGGAAATACTCCTTGCAAATAACACTATGATTGTTCACAATTTTGAAAATGAATTTAGTTTACAGAATTAGCTGATATATGAATAATTTTATAAATTGATATAATAAACTTAATCCGTTGGCCGGATACAACATTTCATATCTTGTTTTATATAATCAATAAATGTTACATTTGAAACAAATTTGGGATAAATCTGCAAGGTGAGTAAAAAAAAAATCCCCATATCAGGGCCTGTAAAGACCTTGAGTTTGACCGCACCCCATGATAGAAGACGGTAACTTCCCCAACATCTCAACCCCTTCTGCAAATACCACACCCATTCCCATGAAAAAATGGGATTCTATATGGCAATGGAAAGCCCACGCTCCCGGATTATCTGCTCTAAACCTCAAAGCCGTCCATCCGTAGGGATGTACAGGCACCGTGTTCTTCATTATCGGATTCACCAAATTGTACTTCCTGGGATCATTGAACTTATCGAGCTTCCCTTCCCCGTACCCTAAAACCCAGAAATCGTGTCCATGGAGATGCCATGGATGCGTCTCGCTGTTGTCGGATTCATGGTGTTTGCATTTTGAAGTATAGATCCACGGTCGTGTTGAATCCAGCCTGTATATCCCATTGCTGGAGGTAGCGTTTTTATTCTGTTGGACGATGCGTATATCATAGTTCACCTCATCGATCCGTTAGGCGGTGGATTTTGATCGAAAGCATCGGTTAAATTC